CAGAGGAAAACAGAAAGACAAAAGAAAACACAAAAAAACCCAACAATAACAACAACAAAAATCAAAGACAAAAAAAAAAAGAAAGAAAGAAAAGCCTATAAATAGTCTGTTTGTTAACCTTTAGGAGTGTTTTCTGGTTGCGTGTGTTGGGGTGCCATGCCCTGCCACCAAAGTCTATTTTTGGTATTTCCCAGGGACTTCATTGCCTTGCTCCCCTTGTTGCTCTCTTGCACACCTTTAGTGTTTCACCCCAGTGTTGTGGGGGTCACAATTCCCGCTCTGTGCCTCCAGTGTTGTCCCTCATACCGTTATAGGTCAGTGCTGAGGAAGTCTTGTCTCATAGTGGTCCACTCTGTGCAGTGGCTGTTCTGTGTGCTCTGATCAGAGCTCTCCACTCCCTGAGCCTTAGTTTCAATGCTGTCCTCTGAAGTGAATTCTTCTGGGAGGATTGGTGCCAGCCCTGCAGACCTCTCTATTGATTCCCTGCTTCATGCCGGTATGTTGCATTCATTTCTTGGAGCACCTGGTTGAAGTTTGGCCCTTCTCGCCCTCTCCTGTGGAGATATAAACAATACCCTCCCCTTGAGTGGGTTAGTGTCCTGTTCCCCAACTATCCATGTCTTTTTCTTTTTCCCCGCTCCTTTTCCCCTCCTTTTTAGTTGGCTGTCGTATGTATCCCTGGATTGGGTCTGGCCCCTGCCATAGTACCTGGGACCTCACCCCGGGAATGTATGTGTACAGTAGCTTTTTGCCTGTGCCCCTTTTGTATTTTTACGTTTATCTCAGTGGGCTCATGTTGTACATGTCCTTTATGCTTGCTTACTTCACTTAGCATAATTTCTTCCAGTTCTTCCCATGTGACGATGTGCTTCATAGCGTTCATCACTGCGTTTTAGGGATGTGTAGTACTCCATTGTATGTATGTACCAGAGGTTTTTTTTTTAATTATCATTTTATTAGGGGTTCATACAACTCTTCACAATCCAGACATACGTCATTTGTGTCCAGCACATTAGTACATATGTTGCCATCATCATTCTCACAACACCTGACTTCCACCGGAGCCCTTGGTGTCAGCTCCTCATTTTTCCCCCTCCCTCCCCGCCCCCCGCCCCCTGAACCCCTGATAATTTATAAATTATTATTATTTTATCATATCTTACTCCATCCGAAGTCTCCCTCACCCACTTCTTAGCCTTGTTATACAGGGCGCGTTAGAAAGTGGA